ACACACACACACACACACACACACCCTAAAGCCACCCAAGAATTTCTAGGCAGACAGTTGTGGGTGATTGACTAGGTTCTACTTCCTACTGCAACCTCAAAGACTAAACATCTCAGGCTCAGTTTTCCAAGTCTATAAGATAGGGAGGATCTCTCTGCTCAGCCAGCAGGACTGATGAAGGAACACTGATCAGAGCTTCCTAGGGTAGAGGCTCTCACTCACTTATATTTGCTTGACATCTCGTCTCCATTGGCCTCTCCTTTTCAGCAGAAGAACAAGTTTTATAGCCTCGAGATAAAATGTTGATATTTCTTCCACAGCCATTGACTTCCACTGGAAAGAACAGAATGCTATCAACTTGACTTCATTTTATCACCACCAAAAGATGGTAGTTAATCAAGGCACAGTATAAAGAAAACCGTGGATTCTCTTTATGATGAAAAACTTACCTAAAGGCTATTCTTCGTTACTGAAGTATTGTCAGTGTCTAGTGAAATTTAAAAATACAAAACAAGATGCCAGAGGAGTACTTGGAGGTTGAGAGGGGGAATTCTTAGAGAAATTATGTTTAGCTCGTCCAACAAGTTACATCATATTGTTTTGAAAACTTTATCATACTATTACAAAACATTTGTTAATGTATCAGGGGCTAGAGAGATAGCTCAGTGGTTGAGACCACTGACTGCTCTTGCAGAGGACCCGGGTTCGATTCCCAGCACCCACATGGCAGCTACAAACCATCTTTAACTCCAATTCCAGGGGAATCTAACACCCTCTTCTGACCCCGGCGGCATTGCACAACATGGGTACACTCACATACATGCAGGCAATACACTCATACACATAAAAAATAAAAATAATAAATAAATTATTTTTTAAAAATTGTTCTTATGGTCCAATGACATTATCATAGTCACATCAAGAATACTTATGATGGCGAAGGTATGCTTTCAGTTTTGAGCACCATTTAGTTGGAAACTCAAATGATCATTCATTTGGAGGAGATATATTTCAACTTTAATTCTTTCCACTTTTCTGTATTTCATGGAAGCTAATCTCAGTAAACACAGACAGTTAAAAGGTGGGTGTCCTAGTTTGCTTTTCTGTTGCTGTGATAAAATGCCATGACCAAAGGCAGCTTGGGGAGGGCTGGGTTTATTTCATGTTACAAATGACAGTCCATCATCAAGGGAGGCTAAGTCAGGAACTCAAGGCAGGAGTTTGGATCTAGGTAGGAACTGAAACAGAGACCATGGTGGAATGCTGCTTAATGGCTTGCCCCCCACCCCACCTCCAGGCTTGTTCAGCTACCTTTCCTATATAGCCCAGGTCAATCTGTTCATGAATAGCTCCATTCACAGTAGGTTGGGCCCTTCTACGTCAATTAGCATTTAAGAAAATGCCTCACAAACATGGTCACTAGCCAATCCCTTGGAGGGAATTCTTCAGTTGAAGTTCCCTCTTCCCAGGTATCTCTAGCTTGTGTCAAGTGGCAAAAAATTAACCAGGGCAATTAACCCTTGTCAAGTTGACACACAAACACATCAGTATAAGCGATATCCTTTTCATTTTTTGTCCTCAAGGTCTCATGTTAATATCCATCTTTTTAAAGTCCCATGGTCTTTAAAAAAGTCCAATGATTTTAAAGTTCAAATTCTCTTTAAAAGTCTAAAATCTCTTTAAAAGTCCACTCTCTTGGGGGCTGGAGAAATGGCTCAGTGGTTAAGAGCACTGGTTGCTCTTCCAGAAGACCCAGGTTCTATTCCCAGCACCCACATGGTGACTAACAGCTGACCATACCTCCAGTTCCAGGGGATCTGATGTCTTTTTCTGTCCTCTGTGGGCTTTGCACAACATGGGTGCACTTTACATGTAGGCAAAACACTCATATGTATAAAATAAAAATAATTTTTTTTTAAAAAAGTCCAGTATCTCAACTGTGGGCTTCTATAAAATCCAAAATAAGTTCCATATTTTCTTATTTCAAAAGGGAAGGACTAGGGCAAAGTTATAGTCAAATCAAAGCAAACCCCAAACTCTAGCAGTACAAATCAAGTCCTGTAGTTCAATGTCTTGCATTTGAGATTCATGCATGATCTTCTGAGCTCCAAAGGGCTTGGGCAGTTCCTCTGCCAGCTTCTCCAGCTCTGCCAACCACAGCACACACAGCTTATCTCATAGGCTCAGGCTGGTTCCACTCCACACCTGCTGCTGTGGTCCTGGCATCTCCAGTATCCTGTGAGCGCTACTGTAGCTATGGCTGCACTTTCACTGGTTGCCTCTCTTGGCCTCTCACAGAGTCAAACCTCTGGACTACAGCTTAAGTGTGCTCACCCAGAGGAAAAACTTCCCAGAAGATTTCACTTCAATGGTGCTAGTCTCTTATTTAATCACAGCTGATTTTTCAGCCTCAGCTAATCAGCTTTGACTGTTCCAGTAAAGCAAGGGTTTGACTTCCACACATTCTTAATTCAAATATATCATACAGATGCCCCTGATAGAATCTTTGAGTGACTCTCAATCTTCCCTTTGAAACTTCACAAGCCAGGCCTGCATCATCCACATTTTTCTCAGCATAGCTGTTCCAAGATCCACAACTACAACTCATCAAACTCTGAGGAATTTTTTCCATCCAAAAGTTCCAAATGCTTCCACAATCCTCCAAAAACCAACATGCTCAGGCCCATCACAGCAAGTCCCCACTCTTGGTACCAATTTCTGTCCTTGTTTGCTTCTCTGTTGCTATTATAAAACACTGACCAAAAGCAACTAGAGGAACAAATGGTCTGTGTCCTCTTACAACTCCCCGGTTACAGTCTACCACTGAGGGAAGTCAGGGCAGGAACTCAAGGAAGGAACCTGGAGGCAGATACTGATATGGAGACCATGGAGGAGTGCTGCTTACTGGTTTGTTTCTCTTGACTTGCTCATCTACCTTTCTTATATAGGCCATGCCCATCTGCCTAGAGATGGCACCACCCACAGTGGGCTGGACCCGCCTACATCAATTAGCATTTAAGAAAATATCTCACTGACATGGCCAAAGACCAACCCAATGGAGGAAATTCTTTAATTGAGGTTCTCTCTTCTCAGGGGTCTCTGGTTTATGTTAAGTTCACAAAACCAACACATTGGGTGACTTTGAAAGAAATACAGATGGGCACCTGCTTTGTATTTAACCACTAACCCACCACATGACTTGGAAATGTAAAGACTGGATTTGAGCCCCAACTCTACCTCTTGGAAGATATTCGACCTCAGGACAAATTATACATTATCACTTAACCTGTTTCCTTCTCTTTTAACATGGAGATAACAACAACAATATTTATCTTATAAGTTGTGATTACTCAATATTAGAAGCTTTATGAAGCTTTTATTAGAATAGAACCTAATACATAGTAAGAGTCAGGAAAAAAAACATTACCCATTGTTAACACTAATCCGCTATGTTACCTTCAGCAGGCTACTCGAAATACCTCATTTGTAATATACATATCTCCCTCCTACCCCTATGTTCCCCTCTTCTTCTCTTTCTCCCTTTCTCTCCCCTTTATACTGTCTCACTATGTAGCCTGGGCTGGCCTTGAACTCATGATCCTTCTTCTTTAGCCTGCCTGATACCATCAAAATACGGGCTTTAAATTGCAATCAATGTTTGCCAAATTTGATCATTGTTACATGGCCTTTATTTTTTTTTTTTACCATTTTTACAAAAAGCATTGTTATGTTTTATTATTATACTGAAAAGAATAAAGTTATCCTCAGTTTATCTGTGTAAATTTATTAATATAAAATAAATCTGTTATTTAGTGCCAGTGAACTGATGATTGTTTGGTTTTGTTTTTGAGGCAAGGGCTTCCTACATCTATAGCCCAAGCTGGTCTCAAACTCACTATATAGTCCAGGCTAGCCTTAAAACTTCTGACAATCCTCCTGCCCTTGGCCTCCTGAGTGTTGGAATTATAAGTCAATACCACCATACCCAGTAAGTGAACTGACTTTAACTTAATAACATAAAATATCATGCTACCCAACTTTCTAGAGTATAATTGCTGAAGATCTCACTGTTGGAGGGTAGGCCTAGGCCCAGGCCCAGGCCCAGCTGAACATCATGTCTATACCAAACAATTACCAGAACCCTGCATACCTGAGGCACCTCTGAAGCCATTGTGCCTAGTTATCCTTTTGTTCAAACACATGTGAGAGCACTATGTTTCATGTGGAAGGAGAAAGCCCAGAGTCTGGAGCCAGGCAGTTTGCAACCAAATCCCACTTGTTAGTTTCATGGAGAAATAGGCTAGTCATTAACAGCTATGTGCCTCAGTTTCCCTATCCAGAAAATCAGGATAATAAGGCTGTCTATTCAGCATGTTGCTGTGAGATTTTAGATGAGTGAATAAATTAAGTACTTAGAGTACTGTCAGCTACCAACACAGATAAATATATCACACTTTAATGAACATGGGTGTATATCATATCTGAATTCCATTTTGTCCCTGAGGTCTCTAAGCAGTTCAGGACATGTGGGTCCTGATCCTATACAGACATTTAACGTATCTGGCTGAGACTTTTCTTCTCATAAAATTACTACAAAGCTGTCTCCCTTTAAGGACTTCCTAGGTATGGTAAAACCTAGTATAAGCCAAGGATCTGTATTTGGGCAGCTATAAGTACTCTAGCACTCTATAGTAGAAGACTCTGCTATTTAACTTGTAGCCATGCAACTTGTTAGACTAAGCAGAGCATCAGTGTGAGGACCAAATATTGACTGGCAACTCTCCCCCGCTTAAGCAAAACCAGAAAGGAGTAGAAAACCATATCTCTTGCCACAACCTTCCTGCCAGGAATACTGAAGAAAATTAGACATAATGTGAATTCCATATGTCCAAATATAGTACTAACCCATTCAGTCATAAAAAAAAATGAGTCTCTCTGGCCTACTGTATTTGAATCGATTTATATTTCATACTCGAATATTCCTCTAAATCTTCACGCACCTGTATCATGTTGACATTCAAAGTAAGCATGATTCCTTGATTCCTGAGAGATTTCTGCCCTCAAAGAAGCTGCACGAACCAGTGTACCCTGAGGTTGGAAGTAAAATATGCAGATGAGGTCCTGTGGCCTAAGTACTGGGAGAAACCCAAGTGTTTAAATTAGTCAAGTAGAATTACTATGTGCTTAATTATTATGTCTCACATGAGAAAGTTCTCGAAACTCAAAGTGAACTAGTAATTATACTCAGACTCACTGCAGCAAATTTTAATAGATCACAGAGCCACTATACCTTTTAACTTGAACAGGACTAGGTTTCCCTCTGTAATAGACAAGTTCTTGAATCAGACCTGTACTGTAAGTGGATGGACAATTAATTCCTAACCAAGGCAGTAAGAAGGGTGATATGGAATGAAGCCATGTACAAGGGAAATTACATCATCCAACAGTGGTTTTGTTCTGCTTGAAAGAAATGCTCCAAAATCATGCATGTGCTATCTATTCAGTGGACTACCTGTGGGGCAACAATTCTCTCCTTAGAATTCACCTAATGTCACAAGATCTGTGTACATTTCCCATAGTGAATTTACATGCTTGTGTTTATAGTCTGTCCATTTCCAATCAAATTGGTGATTTTTTAGATAAAGCACAGTATAGCTGTGAGTTGCTTGGTAACAGGAACACATTCTGAGAAATATATTAGTAGGTGATGTACTGTGACCACCATTGTGTGTTCTTACACAAATCTATACGGTATGGCTCACTATATTCTCAGGCTATATGGGGCACACCTTCGCATATAGCTCATCATTAACTGAAATGCCTGTTTGTGGCACAGGGCTGTATAGCTGAGACGTTATTAAATCAGAACCCATCCATCTAACCTTGCCATTCCACTGGGTTGTGGCTGGCAGGTGACATATAACACATTCTTGCTATGCATTCTTTTGAAACCAAACCCATCCTACTGACCCAGCTCAGATTATCAACTAGGATGCTTTTGTCTTTTAATTCTTTGCATCATCTCATTATTATTTTTCCTCTTTGAGGTGATTTTTTTATTTGTCCCACCCTGAAGGTGACATGGGAAGGTCTTCTGAGTAGGTATTAGCATCCTAACTGATTCAGGGTTTCAAAGCTATGTGCATTACTCTCCCTCCCCTAATAAATCCTATTTTGCCTATATTAGGTGAGATATGTCTGTTTCTCTTACACCCAAACAACTCCACTAATCAAAATTTTAGGTATGTATTATATCTATTATTTATCAAAAGTGTACCATGCAAGGCATCATTCTGAGCTCCTAGCCTGTGGTAAGTCTGTTGTGTTTACAAGTTTGTGGAAACACCTCATTCTGCACACCCTTTGGAACTTCCATTTCCTTTTTATTTTTAAACATTTTTTAATTCTTTAAAACTTTCCTGGATGTACACATTGTATCTAAATCATATCCAGCCCCACTCCTTCCTTATACCTTCCCTTGGCCCTCTCTTTACCCATTTTTTTTAATGACCCACTGAATCCATTTCTTATCCCCTGATCTAGTGTTTTCCATTTTTCAATGTATTTATGGCTAGAAAACTCTACACTTTCTTATTACTTCTCCTCCCCACTAGAATTAAGTTCCCTGATGTATCTCTGATAGATAGTTCTCTGACACATGCCAGGGGTTCAATAAATAAATGTTTAATTATAAGATTGATTAATGAATGATATAGCATTTTCTATGGATTTCTCTGGATTCCTTTAAATCCATGAGTTTCTCTGACCCACCTTGCAGGACCTGCATAAGTAAAATGTTTTCTTCCCACTCTAAAGCTTTTTAAGCTTGATTTCCACATCCTTGCTCAGCCCAGTAACAGAGGACTCGATCGAATGACCTCCAGAGAGCTCTCTGGCCCTTGACATTCTAATTCAATTCCACTTAAATGTCCTAAAAGTAATTTGTGGAGAAATTCTTTCCTCCTCCTCTCTGGATTGGAGTATGCGTTTATCTAATTATTTCCTTGGTAGATTGACCTAGCCTGAGAGGAGTACCATGTCATCTCCCCTGCAAGTTCTCTAAGCACTCACTTTATAAAACTGGAAGACTAAAACTCAACTCTCTAGGGAATTAAATTGCATTCAAATAAGATTAAGGCTTTTTGACTCACAAAAGCAAGGACAATCAGAGGCTAACTAAGCCAAAGCAATTGTTCAGCAAAATAATCCAGACATGTTCTTCACAAAAAGGACTCTCACAACTGGTTAGGAAAGGAAAAAAATGACCAGGAAGGAATTCTGGACTGGACTGGACTGGAGGAGAATTCCTCCTTTACCTTCCCTTCCTAGGTGCTAAACACAGCTGTTTCTCAATTCAGTTAACTGTGGTCCAACACTTCCCAATGACCTCGGTGAGAATCTTTAATGAAGTCTTGAAAGTCAGGAATGGAGGAGGTTCACCATCTGCAGAGGTGTTAGTTGAGTGGGGAACTGAATAGAGAACAGTATCACTGTGGATCTAATGTTTGTGTGTCGCCACTTGAATTGAAGCATAACATTTTTTTTTTTTAAATCTCTCACAGGACATAGATTCCTTCTCAAAAACAGTGTTTTCAGATCATAACATAAAGAGCATAACATTGCAAAGAGAACTAATTTCATTAAAATTCATTTAGCAAAATACCTTTTCCCCCAAGCAAGTCAGTAGCACATGTATTCATTAACATATTAAATTGAGGACCAGCAGTTGGTCCGATAATTACTGTAATTTTATAGTGGTGAGAAGTTTAAGCGGTAGTTTGAAGTATCACAAGAAACAGTCATTTGATATAAAATATCTACAATTTATATAAACAGATCACACAGGTATAGCTAATACTGCTGTGGTTTTTTTCTCTGCGTTCATAACTGAAGGAAGTGTTTAATTTCAGTTAGATGTGAGTATAAATAATGATGGGCCTTTTCTTCCCGTTCGAATTCATGGATGCTCTTCACCTGTCTCGGGTTAGGAACCTCTGAGGTAGAGATTGGAGGAGTCTTTGAAGTCTCTGCCTTAAACACTATACAGTACGCCCACCGTCACCTGTGCTTAATGACATTCCTTCTGACTATTCTCAGCCTATGAAGAAAGTGTTCTTATTGGCCAGATCAAGAAGTCTTGAAAAACCGGAAGACTATCCAGACCTGCCACATGTGCTTTATGCCTAGAAAAAAAAAAAAAAAAAAAAAAAACTCTTTAGACTGATGGGGGAAAGACTGCCAGTTGCCATAGAATTCCGGCTTTGAGTTGTTCAGCTTGCACATTAAGTGCCCAGAGCTGTTGCCGTTTGAAACTAACAAGCCCTATATCCCAGGAACAGCTCAATCCCTGACAAACCAGGATGATTATTGGGTACTTTGGAGGTAGAAATGTGTGATCTCAGTCAATTCACTTAGCTCTTGAAAGCTCAGCATCTCAATCTCAATATTGGAGTAACAAGACCTTTCCCTCAAGGTTGTGTGGGTCTTAGCACTGTGTCTGTCCCATAAGCACTTAAGAAATATTGGTTACCATAGCTATTGCTGCTGCTGGTGGTACATAAACTCCCTTCCTTATGTCAGTCTTACCTTCCCATATGCCTATGTCATGTACAGCTGTTCAAGACACCTCCAAAAAGGTCTGCTTTTCCATGAAGAATTTGTTAATGCCATGTGTTTTGATGAAATAAAATGTTAGGTTAAAGCATATGAAACTGACAGTTTTGTAAGACAAAAACAGTCCACTATTGATAATGTCACACAGTCCAATGTAGCACATGACATCTCCAGTCACCAGCCAGCACTCAAGGGGCTATCTTTGAGAAGTGCTTTCCTTCCCTCCTCCTTACTCCTTCTACAGCTAGCCCTGAGTGTCAGTACGGTCTCTGGTTTTCTCTCATGATACTCTTGAAAAGAATAAGATAATTAAATGATCAATAAAATTGGTTTAGCATGGCATAAGCTACATGAAAACCTAGAAATCAGGCATGGTGGTACAGGCCTGTAATCCCATCACTCAAGGCTGAGACAGGGTACAGAGTGAGACTGTCTTTAAAACAGCAACAGCCAGGCATGGTGACATACACCTTTAATCCTAGCATTCAGGAGGTAGAGGCACTTGGATCTCTATGAGATGGAGGCCAGCCTGGTCTATATAGGGAATTCTAGGCCAGCTGAGCCTACAACAAGTCTCAAGAAGATCAAAAACAAAAACAATAACAACAACAAAGGACAGGAAGTTGGATGAGTAGGTTAAGGAGGTGGGATGTAGATTTGAGTGAAGTTGGTCGGGGGAACACACATTTATATGAAGTTCTCAAGTTGATGAAAATATTCTTAAAAATAAATCAGAAGCGAGATTTTTCATTCAGGGAACTGTGCAGTAGTCACTGAATAGGCTCACCAAGAGGAGCGTGCCACCTTGTGTCATTCTTTGTCTCATTCTTTGCATATATATGGTTTTATAACTGACCAAGCAACATGCTACTATGTCTTTTAAAATAGCTATTGTTACAAAGAAGCACATTAATTGTGAAAACTTGAAAAGGGGGATTTAAATACCATGCATAAGAAATGGAAAGGTTATATAACTAGGGTTTGGAGCTCAAAGGAACACCACTAACGTGAGATCCTTTAACTCAGAACAACACTCTCCTGTATGGTGACCCCCAGCCTCTTGTGGCCGGGAAGCCCCTGAAAGGCAGAAGTAAAATGGGTCTCAAAGACTTGGTTGTAAATAGAAGTTGTAAAATGCATCATTAATTAATGACATTCCTTCTGTATTATGATTGCATATTGAAATGGCAGTAATTACTACAGGATATATCAGGTTAAACATATCTAGTATTATCATCAATCCAAAGTTTATCTGCTAACACAAAAATGTTTTTAAAAAATTAACTTCTTTTTTTTTTTTTTTTTTTGTTTTCAATGTGGCTTCTGGAACACTTAAAACTTCATCGGTGACACAAGCTGAACTTTCCTAGACAGATGAATGAGTAGCTCAAATAAGGATGCATACAGGAGAATAGTGTCCTAAAGAAGGAATGAATTCCATCTACTGCATCACGGATAACCATGAAAAACGTTATGGGAAGTAGAATAAGTCAAATGTGAAAGAATAAATACTGTTGCAATCTGCTTTTATGCAGGACCAATACCAGGCAAATCTGTTTATAAAGAAAAAGGTGACTGCGGGGGACAGTGGGGGCCAGGGGGTGGCAAACAGAGCATTGTTGTTGAATGGCTACAGAGTTTGTACTGGCTGAATAAACAGGTTCTGGAATGGATAGTGGAGAGGGTAACACAACAGGAACATACTTAATGCTGCTGAATTATACTAAAATGAAAAAATGGTTAATTTTATGTTATGTGTATTTTGTCATGATTTTTAAAAATTCACATGACTAGGTGAAGTTTAATAAAGGAGTCCTGTCCAAGGACCAGCATTCAACAGACTCTTGATCTCTACGCTTTGGCCATTTGTGACCTTTTGTGTTCCTGCCCCTCCTTTGCAAACTCAGGCAGACAAAAACCCAGCATAGAACTAGGAAAATGAACAGCAGACCCCAAACTTATCTGAAGAAATGCAACAGATTTGCTGCTAGGTGAAGAAGAGCTGATCTTCTTAAAACAAGGGACTCTAGTCGGGCGTGGTGGTACACACCTTTAATCCCAGCACTTGGGAGGCAGAGTCTTTGTGAGTTCAAGGCCAGCCTGGTCTACACAGTGAGTTCCAGGACAGCTGGGGCTACAAGGAGACCCTGTATCAAAAAGACAAAAAAAAAAGGGACTCTAGATAGGCTGACTAGACCTCAGTGGATGGCTTGCACTGGGGAACGTCTGGGGACACTGACTTAACACAGTGGACCTTAACAGGGATGACAAAGTATATGGACTTCAGTGGGGGGTGGGGTGGGAGGGTGCCAGTGGGGACTGGGGTATAAAGATGATTAGGATTGTTTGAGATGTTCTGTATGAAATACAAATGAAAACAAATTTTTTAAAATTCACATGGTACACCAGTACGCCTTATATTCCTGTGGAATAATGCCACTCTAGAGCTTACAGAGGACCAAGAAATAAGTCCTACCTATTGTACACCAAGAACTCAGCCTTCACTGAAGGAAACCTCGGGACTTGAGTGCTGACTGGCTTACAAAGCTTGGGCAATGGAAGACCGTGACAGACATAGTTTCTTTGTCTGAAGAATGGGGACAAGATGTTCCTCTTAGGGTTGAGTCTAACAAAGTTTGTCTATTTCGTGAATCACAAAAGCCCAAGAAGGGCTACTAAATGTGTGTACTCACTGCCACCAAAAACCCAAGCCAGAGCTCTTGAGACAGTTATTGTGAAGATGCCTAAGAAACACCTGAGAAGACAGTGCCATTCAGGTTACCTGGACAAAAGCTTATTTGGCAAATGTAGCTCCCTTTCTGCGGACTGTGTAGGAAGAGCTGAGCTCTATTCTATAGAAAGTGTGTAACTTGGGAGCTAGGGAGATAGTTCAGTCTGTAAAGTGCTTGCCACACAAGCACATGAACCTGAGTTCCATCAGGTACACTCCAGGTACAGTGGCATGTGTTTGTAATCAAGGCAGGGGGAGATAGAGACAGGAAGATCCGGAAGGTCCTTTGGCCAGCCACCTAGCTGAACTGTCTGATGAGCCCCAGATCAAGGAGAGACCCTGCCTCAAAAACAAGTAGGCAGCTCTTGAAGGACAATGCTGAAGGTTGTCCTCTGGGCTCCATGTACTTGTGTACACATGTGTACATACACACACATGTACACTACACAACACACTACAGTGTTTGCTTTGGAACCTCCCCACCCTAATGTATTCAGGTATATCAGTTCACAATATGACATAGGTTTTCCCAAAAAATCTTTTTGTCCCAAAATATGCTCCAACAGTAGCCAAGCTAGAGAGGAAATCAATGTAGATGTAGATTACTCCAAACATACCCATTTTTGTCACTAACAAAAACAGTGAGTTCCATGAGAACCAGGCCACGCAGGTCACTCAGCACAGCTGAAGGCCACCATAGTGGGCTTTTCAAATGCACACTCAGATACATGCACACACTTACAAAGTGGATAAGCCACACAACTTAGGCAGCCTGTAAGTTCAATTTACTGCTGGGAGATGTATGCAAGGCTTCTCCTTCCACCATCCTTATGATCAACTGATACAATATTCCTCCAAACTACAGTTTAGGGAATAAAGATACTTATTTGGGCTTACTAACAGAGCATATGATGACGATGAAGGATACTTACAAAGGTATAGACATCCTTGGGCTTTTTTCCCCTACATGTTGGCTGAGTCTTCCAGCCACACAACTTAGGCAGCCTGTAAGTTCAATTTACTGCTGGGAGATGTATGCAAGGCTTCTCCTTCCACCATCCTTATGACCAACTGATACAATATTCCTCCAAACTACAGTTTAGGGAATAAAGATACCTATTTGGGCTTACTAACAGAGCATATGATGATGATGAAGGGTACTTACAAAGGCATAGACATCCTTGGGCTTTTTTTCCCTACATGTTGGCTGAGTCTTCTACGCCTATCCAACACAGCCTCACTAGGGTAGGCCTGGAGAGGGCTGAGAGAATGCAGTGGAGGCAGAGCTCCAGGCCATTGGACTGCCACAGTGCTGGGCAACACAGGTAATCAAACCTACCAGGGTGATAGGAGCTGAGAGCCCAGTAAGCTTTCTGGTGTAAGAAGCCCCAAATATGGGCACTTGTCTTAAAATAGCTTTGAAAACAATTTAAAGGTTCCCAATGCCAAGCTGAGGACATCCTTTAGGATTCTAGCTAATCTAGTGGATAGGAGCTGAGAGCCCAGTAAGCTTTCTGGTGTAAGAAGCCCCAAATATGAGAAATATGGGCACTTGTCTTAAAATAGCTTTGAAAACAATTTAAAGGTTCCCGATGCCAAGCTGAGGACATCCTTTAGGATTCTAGCTAATCTAGTTCACCTTGCCCTTGGAAAAGAAGCATCACCAATGAACCCTTCCATATTGTACAGACAACATTCCCCTTGTACTAAAGCCTGCTCAGATTAGAACTGTAGGCATCTGTATTTGCTTTGTCCTAACAACAATGCTATATATATTATCCTATTTGGTACTTAGAAATGGTGTTATTGTGCCCAATTACAGTTGGTTACTTTACCCCATAACCCCTCACCCAATCAAGTTGCTTTAGGATTCACATTCAGCCTGCTAACCCCAAGCATTGTGATATATGGAGCACTCATTCTTAGGTCATTTGGTGTTATGACTCATGTGACCAGATCTTCACCTACACTTACCCTTCAACATATTTCCTTTGCCCTTTGTGTATTCTCTGTGAACTAAAGTACTAATGAACATAATTTAAATGATCCATGCACATGTCATTGATTTTGTTGTTGTTAGAGAGATAGGGTCTCACACTATAGCCCAGGATGGCCTGGAACTCACTGTGAAACCCAGGCCTGCCTCTGTTTCACAGTGATACTCCTGCTCTAGCCTTGCAAGTACTGGGGTTAAAACCACAAGCTCCTTCACCTAGCTAATCTGAGAGCAACTTTTTCTACAATAAATAGCAGGAATAGAAGAAGGTTACATCATCATCTAGTGGGTTTCTATCTCTGGGGCTATTTTCATGAGTTTATCATCTGTCAGATAAGAAGATGGAAATTATTGGCCTGTAAGTTTTCAGGGCTTTACTAAGCTTTCAGACGGTGAGCTACCTAGTTTATCTAAGTAGGATTGCCTATGCCCAACTACCACAGCAGTTACTAATGAGTCTCATAATATGCACCCAAACCTTCAATGTTAGAAAACAGTCTGATGGGCAAGGTTCTTGTTTGAAATACCAAACTTGCTTCTTATCCAGGGTGTTCAGTTAATGTGGCCACATTAGCTGTGAAGACACTCATATTTACAAAGTGGTAGATAAGTAATCTTGACTCAAGTCCTCCAAATGCTCCTTCTATGAGCATCCTTGGCCTGTGGTGTCCTCCAAATTCAGGAATTACATGGCCCACTTTCTGGCAGGCCCTAGTTCTGCAACCTGACGTTCTTATGAACTGGTGTCCTCCCACCTTTCTTGCTCAGTCCCTGCCTCTCTCGTTCTCTAGCTAAACTCCTGGGATCATAGCTGCCCATCTTTGTACTTATGGCACAGGCAGCAGAGTGGGAAGTGATATATTAGAAAACAGTGTGGCCTTGATGGATGATTTGGCTACTGTTTGAGCACATGTGTGTGTGTGTGTGTGTGTGTGTGTGTGTGTGTGTGTGTGTGGTTTCTCATCCATTTGAGTGAGTGTGTATGTATTTCTAAACCGTTTAAGCTGCATTTATGGAAAAATCTCTAAGTGTCATGAAGGCCTGTGAATTTACTTGATTTGCTTAAAGATTAGCTTTTTAAAATTTACATACACACATAAACATATATCAATTCAATGTTGGGGTATAGCTCGTTGTCAGCATGAATGAAACCCTGAATTTGATTCAGACCATCTCAAAAATTTTTTTTGAATTGAAAGATTAAACCAAAAAAATGAAAGAAAGAGAAAGGCTGGAGGGAGGGAGGGTGGTTCATTATAGTATCCCTCTGCCACACTGTTTTCTTCTACAACTCCCTTGGATATTTGGAATCTCAACTTACCCTCTGTTCTAAGCGCATACGATGCTCTGCTTGTCCTAGTAACACCGGAACATCACTGGGCTGACCCCAGCATGCCATCCGGGCTGAAGTAACAGGGTTACTTTATGTTGAGAAGAGGCTATACAAATCACTTGAGCTACAGTGGTCCTATTTGTATTAAGAAGTACATATGAAAATCTCTGTGGAGAGGTGGTCAGTTGAGCTTGATTAACCATATCACTAAACTTATGCAGGTCTAATTATATTTTATTTATCTTTAATTTAGTGTCAATGAGTAATTTTGATGATTATTTTTTAAAATATTTTATTATTTTTGTTTTATGTATATTAGTGTATCGCCTGCATGTAAGTAAGTGCGCCTATGTCATGCAATGCCCGTGGAGGACAGAAGAGGCTGTCGGATCCCCTGGAACTGGAGTTATGGACAGTTGTTAGCTGCCGTGTGGGTGCAGGGATTTGAACCCAGGTCTTCTGCAAGAACAGTGTTCTTAACTGCTGAGCCATCTCTCCAGACCCTCGATGATTCTTTTAAGTCTTCTAACGTCACAGCAGATGCATGTCCATCTCTTCCCCTTGGGTTCTTTTCCTCTCCATCCTAGGTGATCCGATGTTGAGTCATCACAGAGTCTGTGTTCCCCTGTCTTCCTGAGAGCTCAGGGTGGGATCTGGAGCACCTGGGTAGCTTCTGGCTGTGGGCCACCTCCCTAGATTATTCGTGTGGAGCCAGATTGTGTCCAACCACAAAGAACCAAGGTCCAGGGAAGATGCTGGTCAAAAATAATTGCAGACAACACCACTGGTGCCACTAACTTGGAAGCTTCAAGAACCACATGACTCCAAAGCAGGTTCTCATAGCTTTTGACTCACTACCCAGCTCTTATGTTCACCACAAGAGGAGCTCCATGGAGCCAAGGTGTCTCTCCAACCTGGCTTAACCCTGATTTTTGAGTCATTGCTCTGAGCCACCTTGCAAGGGGTTTCAGAAAGCCTGGAGTTCTTAGAATAAACAATCTCCAACCTCTAATCTGCCCCTTCTGAACTCTTGTTATTATCAGA